TTGTGAATATGCGAGGCAACATCCTACTTTAAGTCATACTGACATTGCCCACTATTTCAATGAGAAATTTAACCTTAATATAGATCGTTCAACTGTAAGCAAGATTTTATTGAATAAAGAGAAATGGCTTAATACACCGACGACAAAACGAAATTCTAGCATATTTCGTCAACGTTCCGTTAAATATCCTAACTTAGATAAAGCTATGGAGTTGTGGGTAAGCCAAGCAGTTGCAGGAGGCTTACCTTTATCTGATCAAATACTTCAAGAAAAAGGCCTTGAGTTTGCAAAGAACTTTAATATTGAAGATGACAACTTACGATGCTCTAATGGATGGGTTTACAAATTCAAGAAGAGAATTGGTATTCATAAAATTACTCTTCATGGAGAAGCAAATAGTGCACCAATAGCTGACTTGGCGGACGAAAGATTTAAATTGCAACAGATTTTAGCCAATTACGATCCTGAAAACATCTACAATGCTGATGAGACAGGATTATTTTATCGCATGGAACCTAATCAAACCCTGAGCACGAGTAGCACAGCGGGTCGAAAGAAGGTAATTTCTTTAATTTAATTGTTAAGATGCTTCTGTGATTTTCGACTGCATGTAAATGACATTACCTATTCTTATCTATCTTAGGACAAATCCCGCTTAACGGTCCTTCTGAGTTGTAACGCTACGGGAACACACAAACTTCAACCTCTTGTTGTGGGAAAATATCAGAAACCCTGTTGTTTTAATAATGTCAACTTATTGTCACTTCCTGTCACTTATCATGCAAATTCAAAATCTTGGATGAGATCCGATCTTTTTCGTGAATGGGTCGAGAGATTCGATCATTCATGTCGAACAAAGAATTTAAACGTATTATTACTTGTAGACAATGCAAGTTCACATTTAAATTCTTCGCGACTCGCTGTCGATAATGAGCAAAATCACGCTTCAAGTCAGTTAACCAACGTTAAGATAATTTATCTTCCACCAAATACCACTGCCCATTTACAACCTATGGACGCAGGTATTATTCATAGTTTTAAAGCGAACTATAAGCGTCTGTTCTGCCGTTACTTAATCCAACAATTTGATATAGGAGTCGATGCTTGTGACAACGGGTATATATGATATGCTCATTTATAAATATAATCGTTAACATGATCAAACTTACATATTTAAATTTTCAGATTTAAAATTAACATGAAACAAGCGATCGAATACATTGCTGTTGCCTGGGATAATGTTTCTATTAATACTATTAAAAATTGCTGGCGACATACTGACATTTTACTGACCGCTAATGAAGATATTGTGGACGCTGTAGATTCAGGGACGAATGAAACCGATGATGTTGAAATCATTGATAATTTACCAGATCAACAGCGCATGATTGTGGAAAACTGCATAAATCTACTTGATGCACTTGTCACTACTGAAGAAACCCTTTCAGATGAACAAATAATTTCGTTAGTCAATACAGAAGATGGAGAGTCAAGTGATGAATCTGATGAAGAAATACCGCGTGTGCAATTAAAAGAGGCTAAACATGGCTTGGAAACTGCAATTAGATATATTGAACAGCAGTCTGATGGTGCAGGCATTGACTTCAATGATTTGCGTATTTTTCGTAAATACATAAATTTGCTGAGCCTTGAAGAGCTTGAATTAAAACGTCAACAAAAAATTGACAATTATTTTACGAAACAACTTTAGAATTA